GAGAGAGAGAGAGAGAGATGTCAAAATGGTAAAAATAATTCAAACCTAGAAAGAATTGAGAAGTGCTCCAAGTTGATGGATTTTGAGATTTTTACTTTGTTAGAATGGAGGGCCTGTAATTCAAATACATCCAGCATCGTGTATTTATAATGCAGAAGATCATTCTTCAATACACACACACACATATATATTTCTAAGACATAATAAGTAGGGATGTGAAAGTTTGAATTCTCTGCATAACTCCATTTCCCTCCTAGTGTGGTGAATTTCTCTCTCCCTCTCTCTTACTCAAATTTCAAATTTTCTCTATTGTCAAAAATTCAAGGCATGGTTCATTCTTCTCGTTACTTTTTCTAAAATGTCTCTATTTAAGATAACAGTAAGGTTAGAATTCCAAGATCTTCTTTAATCAAGCATGTTCCTTTCTTCTCTCTCTTTCCCTAAATTTATCTCTTTAGGGCTACAAGCTAGAATTCCTAGATCTTCTCTAATGGCACTGAGTTGGCTTCTATATGGTGAGTTTTTTTGTCTATAAAAAAAAGACTCTGCTAGATTTAGGCTGGATAATAAGCTCTCATAATGAGACAAACAATAAATAATTAGTTGGATCTGCATATATGTGTGAGAATGTGTGCATGAGTGGAAGTCAACATTCGACACATGTGCATTTTATCTTTTAATTTCTTTGGGTTATTGATTTAGGTGCATGTTGTTTTGTTTTTTTGGTAAAGGTTGTGTTGAACATGCATCAGTGTTCAATACCAAGAGATATAATGGCTACCCTATGGGTATCGAATAAAAATGCATGCTTGGTGGTAGGTGCATTTCTCGGTACAGCAAACCAGTAGAATGCTTATCTGCGGTTTTAAGATATGGAGAAAGGTTGAAATGATCATTGTCTTGTTGATGTGTAGATCACTTAGATTGGCATAAATATTTCATACTCCTTTCTTTGTTTGGGAATTTGTTCCATGAAAATTTAATGGTAGTTGCTAAACATAATGCAATTATGCTTATCTCCTTTTGTTTATCTTTTACTTGATTGACAGAGGAAAATGGCATCAAGACTCTAAGACAGTTGCATGCCGAAGAGGATGACGAAGAACGTTTCCAGGCTGACCTCCAAAAAGCTGTACGGCAGAGTCTTGGTCAGTATCTGCTTCCTTTGAGTCATTCTTTGATTGATATTCTTTATAATCTATTGGTATATGTGTTATATCTTCTACAAATCTTGTATGTGTATATCTTGCTGCTGAGAGGCTATGCATGCCTATTATGAAAAAGAAATACCCTTGTAGCTTGTATAATTTTTTTCATTATTTTGTTAATTTGGATTTTTGTCTATGGATCTAAAGGTTGGCATAATAATCCATTTTAAGCTTTTGAAGTCTGTATCTGGTCTGCTAGTAAAACCAAGTGACACTGTTCATCAACATAAATTATTCTTATGATTTACACCAAGAGTATAAATTTCTGAATGTCCATGTTGTTCCTATTTGGCATTTGAATCGCAACTATGTGACATTCATGGTAAGTTTGATTCACCATTTTGGAAGTCTAGAGTTATAATGTTTCCTTCAAGGTGACTGAAAGGGGTCGAAAGATTTTCCAATTTCATCCTAGATAATGAAATAAAATATCATAGATGAAACTGTTCTAGGCAAAGTATACCTTTTATCGGGAACAAATGCTAGAAGGCCTAAAATCCTTGTGGTTTCTCTTGATTTTCTCACTCCCTACCTGTAGAAAGATCTATTGGATTCTTGCACCCTTACATTGTCTACGCCCTTGGACATATTTTGAATGTCTGCTATTTACATACAGTGCTTCAACTTTGATAGGATGGTGATGACACCTATCAATCCTTTATTGACAAATAGTTTTGTGACTGTTGCCATCACCCTCAGTATGTAGAAGAATTATTGATATGCATGTTCCTTGATCGTGCACACATATAGAGGCCAATTTCTTCTGTCAAGAAGTCACACTGTTGGACTTTGTTTTGGTGCCTCATTCTCAAAAAGACTATGATTTATTGCACGCATTGGTACACCACAAATGTGGATGACGCTTTCTTTTGATAAAGGTGGATGATGCCTGTGCTTCATAACCCTCATACCCCGACAAGACACTTTGGCTCTAAAAATGATGGGAATATGACCATTTGATTCATGTACTCAGTGTTTTTTTTTTTTTTAAGTTGGTTCCCCCACACCTCCCCCCATTTTACTGTATATAGAATTGTATGTTTTTTAATTTAATAAGTTTTGTATGTAATATATTTTTAAGATGGCGGAAGCGTAGATCAAACATAAACTTTTTACGATTTTAGATTGTAAATGAAATAATTATAACTCAAAGGCAACATTAAAAGATAAAATCAACTTGGGATGTCATTTGAATATCGCAAATCACAAGTCACAAAAGTTTCAAAAGTCATTAGAAGAAAGTCAAATCTGACCAACAAAGGCCATAAACTACAAAAAGTCTCCTTCACCCCACAAATATGATGAACTCAATTATGAGCTTGAGTTTCATCATCACTAGCAACACGAGGTCGACGTTCGACATGCAATCCACTTGAATCTGCCATCATCATCAGAGTCATCCTCCTCCTCCACATGGAAACCTTTTTCCCTTGTCTCCTCTGAGTCTACATCTTCCTCTTCCTTCTAGATTGTTGTCCTCCTTCTCGTCTGCGCCTTCTTCTTCCCCTTCTCATTTCCATGTTCCTGGGTCACTTCCTTCCCCTTTCTCTGTGTTTGGGATCTAGTAGCTCTCACCGGGCTCAATGCCATTATTACGTGCAATTATTTAATAAGCAATTAAGCATTAAGCAATGATTAAACTAATAAAAAAAATGGTTTATGAATCATCCAAGTAAATTCATGTATAAAAATAAAAAAAAAGTGCAAAACAATATTCATTCGGTTTGGGGGCAAAGTCCCAAACTACATATCAAAATGGGGAAATAATAATCTAAATAGGCAATAACATATCAAATATATATCACAAAATATAAAAAAAAAAACACAAATAGCAAATAATAACATCATTGGACATTAAGGAAAAAAATACAAAAACCTAATGAAAACTATTGAAATATACCAACCTTTTTGAAGTTGACTCGATTTCGGGCCAAACCGAAATGTTTGGGATCTCAAATCTCCTCTTTTACAACTCCTATAAGCCTCAAAAAGTTTGGGGATGAATATCCTTTAATATTGTGACCATTCGAGGATTTCGCTCAAGTTGTTTCTCACTCTAAAGTTCACTAAAATTGTTTTTGTGGGCAAGAATGGCCCCTCAAACCCTTATCCCCCCCTTTTAAGGGGGTAAAATTAAATTTTTTGCCCACCCTCTCCCAAAAAATATTTTCTGCCATGTTTGAGGCAGCGCCTGCCTTTACACCACCTAGACAGGTGCCTTGCATTTTCAGCCTAATACTGTCCGCTTTAACCATGCCTAGGCAGTCGGGTGGCCGACTTTTCGTTCATTGCATGTATTGCATTTAACACTTACACCCTCACCATCTCCTTGATACCCATTCAACCATTTCATTCATAGATGCCCCTAGGGAGTATCTGATTTCTGCAGCCAACCTTTACCCCCTCACCAGCTTTGAAAACCATCCTGCTTGGTTCTCATCTTCATCAACTAATTGCTTTGTTAGAATATCTGATAACTCTACTATGTACAATGCACAGGTTAAATGCTAGCGCACTCACACACATATTGTTTGTACTTACCTGTGTTGATGCATATTTCAGACATATATCAAGCACATCATGGTTTGCCCCTGCCTGGGGGACAATCAAAGAGAGTGCTCAAACAAATGGATGGTATTGAAATTGTCCCAAATGGCGCCAGAGTAGGTGTTCTGAACCAATCTGATGTAATTGGGACCGGCCTGCAAAATGAAGTTGGTGAATATAACTGCTTTTTGAATGTTATCATACAGGTTGGCTCTTGTTTATATTTGCAATTTCGCATAGCTAGTTACATTCTTGCTTCTTGTTTTTGGTTATTTATAGGTTGAAGATTGATTTGGATTTTTTTGTCCTAGTCATATTCATTATCTTGTGATTTGTAAACTTCCAGTCCTTGTGGCATATAAGACGATTCAGGGATGAATTCCTTGGGAAGCCAAGCTCGCTGCATGTGCATGTTGGAGATCCTTGTGTTGTATGCGCTTTGCATTATATATTTACTTCCATGAGTGTTGCATCAGCGGAAATGCGAAAGGAAACTGTGGCCCCTACTTGTTTGAGAGTTGCTTTAAGCAACTTATATCCTGATAGCAATTTCTTTCAAGAGGTAAAATGTAACACTAATTTTTTGGGTGTCTAATGAAGTCTGTATAGTTATTGAATTTGTTCATGACACTCCCAATAGTATGTACGTGATATTGCAGTTATCAGCTTTAGTTTTAGCGTATGTTTAAATTTATCTTGAGAATTCCTAGGCCTTCAAAGAATAATGGTTTCTTCCCTCCGATCTAATCTAATGCAATGGAATGGTAAATAAACAGGCACAGATGAATGATGCGTCAGAAGTCTTGGCAGTTATTTTTGACTGCCTGCATGGGTCATCTACTTCTGGTTCCACTTTCTCTGATGCTGAGTCAGAGGGTAGTTGTATGGGGTCATGGGATTGTGCAAGCAGCACTTGTGTGGCACACACTCTTTTTGGGATGGACATCTATGAGCAGATGAACTGTTCTGGCTGTGGATTGGAGTCCCGACACCTAAAATACACTTCATTCTTTCACAATATAAATGCAAATGCTCTCAGAACAATGAAGGTATCTCCAATTTGATTCCATTTCCTTTACCCTTTTCTCTTCCTTTTAAATCCTGTGATTGAATCTACATGTTCTATTATAATTTCATTATGTATGCTTTATGATTTTGATGCCAATAATGAGATTGTAGTGATGTTTTCAAAGACAAGTGACTCCCAATCTTTTTATCAGATTACATGTTCAGACAATTCATTGGATATGCTTTTGAAGCTCGTGGAGATGAATCATCAGTTAGCTTGTGATCCTGAGGCTGGTGGTTGTGGACGACTTAACTATATTCATCATATTTTATCAGCGCCTCCACATGTATTTACCATTGGTAGGTGACAGGATAAATAGATATGGATTTATAATCTGTGGCACAATCACTATCTTTTGCTTACTGGACATATCCTTCACCTATGTGTTTGCATGTTGCAGTTTTGGGTTGGCAAAATACTTCTGAAAGCCTAGATGACATATCCGCTACATTGGCAGCCCTTACCACAGAATTGGATATAGGTGTCATATACAGGGGCCTTGAGGAAGGCAACAAGCATTGCATAGTGTCTGTGGTATGCTCAATCAACCCTTGCTATTTTATGTCATGTTTTAGATCTTTTTTTTGGAAGTATTGTTTTAATGTATGTAGAGGTTTGCTACAACCAGTTAGCTTGACACCTGGATTTTCCCTTGGTGTCGTGTTGACACGTTGACACTTTTTTTGTTTTTATTGTTGAAATGTTAGACCTTGACACTCGTTGACACTTCGTGACACATACACATGTTGTCCATGCTTGTCTCCTAAATTGGGGTGTGAATAGGAGCTGTTTAAATGTCCTGTCGGACATATGGATTGATTCGATGCCCAATATCATGTGTTTCTTAGAATATAAAAGTGCATGCAACTAGTGGGATTTGAACTTGCGATCTTAGAGCATGAGAGTAAACACTCTGCCACTAAGCCATGACGGGTCTAGTAACTTTCAAAACCCCTATTATTGGCAAAATGCCTCCACTGAGCCCATTTTTCCCATTATGGATACTCGAGAAAAAAATTTCATTTTTCTTCATCCCCAAAACATTTGGATTTTCTTCCAGTTGATGACTATTGCGGACTAGCTTTCTTCATGATTGGCCCATAAAGGCAACTAAAGGCATTCTTTGAATATGATTATCAGTGACGTCTGTATGGTATCATAGTGAACATTGAATAATTTGGACACCTTTCTAAGTTTAGGTATCAAAAATACTTCAGCACATGCATAAACCAACTCTTCTAACTAACCTTGTACAGAGTGTCAGTTTTGCTGATCATGACATTGATTAGATCACTGAGGTGTTGATAATGTCTAGGGTATGATCTGCTCGGAATGCGGGAGTAACTAAAGAAGTAATAGATTTATCTGCTAAATTTCAATATCCTAAAAGTAGATGATTCTAGAGTACGCTTGAGTTGAGAGATAAATGCCTAATTTGAACTGTTAGCTTCCCAGTTCCCTAAAGGAGATCTAGATTATGCTTGAGCTGAGAGACAATATGCTTTGTCTGGATCTGACCACCTCGATATCAAGAAAGTTCTTAATTGCACCCAAGCCTTGGAAATTCCTCTCTGTCACTGCTTAGGAAATGTCATCTGCGTAAACAAGGATGGTAAGTGTCCTTATGATAGCTATGCGTAACATAGCTTGGTTAAACCTCTCATGCCAAGAGCATTGGGGCTGCTTCAGTTCATACTATGTGTTCACATAACGGACTTGTTCCATTCCCATATTTGAAACGGTTGGAATACTTATGCAATCCATATGTCTGGGTGAACTCCTTACCCACAAATCTTGCCCTCTACCTTTTAATATTTTGATTTGAATGAAAATTTGACTTATACACACAGTCTCATTATCGACTTGTGCACAGCTAGTTTCATAGCTAATTGGAGCTGGGAGATCATGGGGCTCCCCAGAGATAGCGAAAACATGTGAAGAGCCCATTGCTCCTTCATCAATCATAAGACCGAGTGCTTCCCCAAAAAGAACAAACAAGAATGGGGATCACAAGAAAGGGAATCGTGTGCTTTGGTGAGTCATCGTGTCAAAACACTTAAAATGCCAAGCCATTAATCAGAATGGAAAAGGATGCAGCAGAGTAGGGTACTAAACTGGAACTCCAGCCGATTGGAAAATTGGTAGGACCCCATTTATCTTATATGGCACCTGGCTAAACTATTCAAACATTTGGGATTTTCCTTTCCTTAATTAGATTCTTTTTTACCCCTTTTCTTGGTTTGATTATTGTCCCTTGTGGAGATTGAAGATGTCTTCTTGTTGATTATATTTTTTCCATCTATTGATGTCGGTTAATATCTGTTGGTATTTTTCTTGTTGTGAACACATACTTAGCTTTTGCTTTTGTTGAGATCTCAGATGGCTAGATATCTCAAGGCCAAAGTCTATAAGAGTAGCTTCACAATCAATTTCAATATGAATTTTCTTCTAGTAAGATAACATCACAAGAGCACAACATCATCTGGATTCGACAAAGTACGTAGGGAACTCAATAGACTCAAATCCGGGATCCATTGCAACAGGTATAACAGAGTCACATCTTTGGCCTCAACTCACCTTGCCCCTCCGATAGGTAAGCCTTCTTGGCGCTCGTCTAGATGAGCCCCCCTTCCTCCTCCCTCATCTTCATGAAGATCATCACGAGGAATATACGGGGTTTGGGGGATGTCGTCGAGTGCAAGACGGTCCATGATTTCTGCATGAAACATTGGACTACGGTTTTGGCCCTCATGAAAACTAAGTTCCCTTCTCTACCCATCCCCCTGATCCACTAAGTCTGTGGATCAAGACCTTGGGTGGCATTTGGGTCATCTAGTACCCAACCCTCCACACCCTCTCTGCTTCGCATATTGACACCTTCTCCGTTTTAGTCGCTTTCTCTAGATTCTTTGACGGCTTCCTTTGTAAATTCTTGGCTGTTCGTGGTCCCAATTGGAATGCTCTCAAAGACCTTTATTGGGAGGAGCTTGACAGTCGCTGCCATGCAGCATTCAATGTGATGTGTTGGCAGTGATTTCAATGTCGCCAGGTGTGTATATCAAAAGAAATTGTAACTCCAAAATTACCCAATCGATACTTGCATTTTCTAACTTTGTGTCTCAGAACCATAATTATTGGGAACGGGAGTGACAAGATCTCCTGGTTCGGGAGCGGGAGTGCGGAGTGAGGTAGGCTCGAAGATCTGTGGTTGGGGGAAAGAGGTCCGTACATGGTCAAGTAAAAGGATTGAGATCCTTGAATTTTAGGGAGCGTGTTCCATATCTTCACATGAGCGAATTCTTTACCAAATGGGATCGCTTTCCTCTATGATAAGGATCGAGGTTCTCGAAGTTCACTTATTAACTATATTGTAACTTGGGAGCGAATTCTATTTGATAATATTTTTAACTTTTTTCAAATTCACAAACTCAGTATCAATGTGAACAAAATTCTTGTCATTGAAATTCTCTTTAACATTTTGTTGTCATTGGAGTATGATCTTACATATAGCAATAATAGAAATCCAATATGGTGGTGTAATACGTAAGTCCTCGATCCCATGTTAACAATGGGAATGGAGGGTGATAAAAACAGTTACTTAAGCAAGAATCACTATAAAAAATTAATCATGTGTGTCCATTGCAAAAATTGCACACCCACCTACATTGGTCTGCCTACAACGCACACGTCCTCATTTTTGGGACCGATCAGTTGGCTTGGGCAACGCCCACTTGAATATCAATTGATGATTAATATAAAGATGTTGTGATAGATTGTTTCAAAAAAAGAAATCAATAGTTAAGTTCGCCTTTGCAAAGTATGAGAAAGGACATACATTGCCATATATAATTCCCAATTGCTCTGCTCTGTCAAAGACTGCTGGGGTTCAAAGACATATACATGAGAGAGACCTCACATTTCCACACATACATGTTATTCCATCACACGTAAGGCAATCTCATGAGTGGCTCGATTTGGTTGACCAACACTCAAGTGATAGAAGTCGTTCAGAAGTTAGACAAGACCTAGTGAACTAGCTCCAGGGAAGTTGAGCATATTGACATTCTTCAATTGAACCATAATGCGACGAACTTTTGTATCTCCTTCCATCTTCTTGCTTCTCTCCTTGTCCTCTCTTTTGTTGCCTTTCTTTGATACTAGACATAAATCACGATTCACAAGGTGTGTAAAGTTGTGAATTGTAAAATATGTAGGAAATCATGGAGTTTGAAAAGTTTGTAGGTTATAAAAAATTGGAGGTCCACACTCGACTGTATATGAACCAAAAAAATGTTTGTGAAACTCACTCCCAAATTAGAGGATACTTGATTCCAAGTTGTTGGAATCGCGGTTCCGCTTACTCATGGAGCCATGATCTTTGGCATAGGGATTTGGATACCATTAGATGGGATCGAGTTCCTCGATTTCTCAAATCGAGATCCCAAATATCAAGGAATTGCTAGGAATCGAGATCCCTTATCTCGGAGCGCGGGATCGAGCTTCTGGCGCGGAAGTGACCCCCTCCTTTGAAGATCTCGGTAATTATGCTCAGGACCACCTCTTAGACCTCCCCTTGCAAGGCGCTCTCTTCAGCTTGTTCGAACATTCCCAAAACTCTTCCCCAACCCTCTCTAAACTGGATAGGTACCTTGCCTCCCTTGATTGGGACAATGCCTTTCCTGCCTTCCATCCCCTTGCTCTTCCCAAACCCACCTCCAAAACTACTGTCATATTCTCTTGGACACCGCATCGGCTTATGAGGACCTAGACCCTTTCAATTTGAACTAGTAAGACCCTTTCAATTTGAACTAGTTTGGCACGTGGGGCTAACTTTAAATCCCTCGTCCAGTCATGGTGGGAGTCCTTTACGTACGAAGTCCACGGTTGGACTGGATTCCGTGTTCAATGAAAATTACAACTGTTTAAATCTGCCCTTAAAGTGTGGTCTTGCTTCCTACCGGCAAATTTCAGAGAGCAAAAGGAAGCCCTCCTCAACTCTTTTCAATCTTGGGACACCAATTCCTCGATGTCGCACGCATAGCCCACGAGTGTATCCACTCACACCACATCGCTAGGATCCCTGAGGTTATCATTAAATTGGTCTGGGAGAAGCTTATGATCACATACATTCGAGTATCCTAGATGAAACCCTTAACAAGAGCCAATGGAGTCATATTGTGGACAAATTCGACTGTAGACTTGCATGGTGGAAGGGCAAATTTCTTTCATCTGTAGGTTGCCCCACCTCATCAAGGCCACTCTTTCAAATATGCCCATCTTCCAAATGCCACTCTTCCATCCTCGGTCTCCAATCACCTAGAGCAGCTGATGCACAATTTCTTTGCAGGCAAGGGGGACAGAAACTTCCATTTCATCTGTTGGGCCAAAGTCTACTCCCCCCAAGACTCATGGGGGCTTCTGCATTTGCATCTTCAAAAACAAAGTAGCCCTTCTTTGTAAATGGTCATGGCAGTTTGCCACTAAAAACAATCATCTTTGGCAAGAGGTGATTAGACATAAATATTGTTGCATAG